TTCGAACTATCAGCCTCGGTGTATGTGGCCGGCACCCTAACCACTGAGCTGTGGGCACTGCCCAGAAATTCTAATTTCTTTCTGATGTAAATTCTATTCTTCATTTCATATCTGTTGTTATCTTTAAACATTTTTACTAATTGGAAAAATAAAACTAGTTAGTACTTTAGGAAGGAAATAGTTTTTTTTTGATATGAGTTTATATTTAGCATAATGAAGTTTTAAATAATTTATTAGATCCTAAACTAACATAAAATTTGAATTGGAGAGGGTAAGCTCATAGTGGTGATAAAGTAAATAATTAGTGAAAAAATAAAAATGAAAAACACATTACCTATTTACTTGTGGGAACATTATTTAATTTTGTTTCAGATGTACTAAAGGACCTTTTTTTGTTGTTGTTTTTTTTTTTTTTTTTTTGACTCTGAGCCTCAAGCTATCCCCCTGGTAGAGTGCCCTGGCATCATAGCTCACAGCTCACAGCAACCTCCAACTCCTGGGCTCAAGCGAGTCTCCTGCCTCAGCCTCCCAAGTAGCTAGGACCACAGGCACCTGCCACAATGCCCAGCTATTTTTTGTGGGCCCAGGCTGGATTCGAACTCGCCATCTTAGGTGTATGTGGCTGGCACCTTAGTCACTTGAGCCACAGGAGCTGAGCCAGGACTTTTGTTTTAAACAATAGTAAGTCTAACTTTTAGATAACTATGTAAAATACAGTAATTTAATGTAGGTAGAAAGTATGCTGAAGACAAAGTCATCTTTAAATCAGTCAGTGATTCTTAAAAATTGTGCTATAGAAATGCTGCTCACACTCATGTACATATAAAAACATTCAATGCTCTTGTTTGTGTATTTTTAGAATCTTGGACTTGTTAATACCACTTACTAACCGTGTGTGTGACACTGGGCCAGACAAAGTGAGCCCTGTTTATTCAGCAGTGTTTGGAGGACATGAACAGTGCCTAGAAATCCTACTGCAGAATGGCTACAACCCGGATGCCCAGACGTGCCTTGTCTTTGGATTCAGTTCTCCCATGTGCATGGCTTTCCAGAAGGAGTATGTATCTTTGCTATATTTTTATTCTGTTTTTGATTTATGGAGATGTATTCCCAAGTGTCTTTCTTTTGTGGTGAGATTTAATAGTTTTGTTAGTGCTAAATTACTAATTTAGAAAACCAACAAAAAGCCCCCTCTATGTGGAGTACTTTGTTCTGTCAAGCTGTAGCAAAAATTAAGTGATAATATCAGGTTGTTTTCCCTCCCTCTTTGAATCTGGGTTACGTTTTTAGTGTAACAATAACAATTTTAGGGAGTACTTCCAAGTGAAATACAGGAATTCTCTGATATTATTGGTCTTCAAAACAATTCAAGAATTAAAAATAGGAGTTTATCAAGTAAGGCGGTGACTTTGATTCAGATCAAGTTTATATTAATTGAAATTTATATTAATAAGACTTCTTATGACTAAAAATAAAAATTTAGTTTTATAGATATTATTGTATTTTTAATGTATTAGATGTATCTCACTTCTTGATATGAGCCAGAACACTTAAGTTTTAAAAGCCTCAAAAATAATTGTTGTTCTCATCTGTCATGATCCTACAAATAAATGAGCTTCTGGCCAATAACTTTGTCTATAACCCTCCTAAAATTTTAAAATAGACAGTAAAAATAAGGCTTCTACTGAGTAATATCTGTGATCCATCTAGTAATGGAATAAGTTGGGAAGATGGGTGCTATTTTTTAAAATGATGCAGAAGAGGTTGCAGATATTTCTTAAATTTCATTGGCTTTTTAGAATCCAACATTTTGGATCTCTTGTTGTGCTCTAATTTGTGCTCTAATTTAAATAGTTGTCAAAACTTACTGAGCTTTTCAGACTTCACCATCTCTTAACGCTTGCTATGAAAATAGTTTATTTTGTTCCAAATTTAAACTTCTAGAGCTTCCAGGTATATATTTTAGTTTCAATATTTAGGGTTTTGATTAATCTGCATATCTGGGACCTGCTGTATGTAAACTTACACGATTTCATAGAATTTTCTTGAAACCCCCTCAAGTTTTGTGTTTCTAAACAGAGGAGCCCTAATTACTTCATCTTTAGGAAGGCTGCACCGATGACTTCATTTCTCTTGGCCTCTTCTGTTACTGTATCTAACTTCATTACAGAAATGAATATTTTTTACTAGATCAGAATAGAAAATGGTTTTAGATAGCATGCGTGTGTAGCAGTGGTCTTTTTTGGCCTTTATCTTTTAAAGGAGTGATGTTTTTGGTCCTTCTGGTTACAGTAGCTAAGGCATGCTTCATCATCTTATAAGTATAGTTTGAATTAAGTCGTGTTACACAGTGCCCTGTTAACCCTGAAATACTCTAATGATACTTCTTGAGAGCTGGGCACTATGTTTCATGCCATATGTGGATTCAGATAAATGAAGTTTGATGGGAAAGGTCTTAAGTAGGCTTCTGTATTTTCCAAGATTAGTTGAAATTGTAAGGGGCAGCCCTCTGTTGTGGAAAGATCCAATTATTAAGACAAGGAGGATTATGACAGACCAGACATCTTTTAGAGAGAATAGGGCAAGCTTCCTCAAATCTGTAACTAAAGGAGAGAGCTTTGGACTTTCTAGGAGGGATCATGTGCCTTTGGGCAAGTTGAGGGGAATGGTAAATCTTGGCATTAGGAAGTCTGCCCTGGAGACTTCGGAATCTTAATCTTGTCTTATGGAAAATTTACCATTTCTGAGAAACAACTCAAAAGGCCAACTAGTTAGTTAAGGGAAAAGATTGTTTAAGAAAATATACAGGGATCAATAAAATTTGTTCATGGAGCTGGTTACACATTTTCTCCTTTGATTTCTGCAATCAGTCAGTAACATTAATTGACTAGTTATAAAGAGAGCACTATTTACTATCCTCTTAAGCTTACTGAGGAAGGTGAAATATAGACCCTATTCTGTGAGAATTTAAAACCTAATGGGGAAAATAGTGTTTAGTGGCATTTGTGGTACGATCTTCTGCTGTCTCTATCAAAGAAGTGTTTTGAATATATCTGTGGAGGCTAAAGCAACTCCTTGGATGCTTATCTGCCATGTTGACTTCTGATTAATTCTCATAAGAATGCTTTTACGATTTCTACTTTATTGTACTATTAAAACCTGCTCTCAGATCAGAACAAACCATAAATCCTGTACTTTGGGCTATTCCCTTACCATTCTTGTCTTTCCCTGAAGGGTCGATTTCAATGGTTCTACACATTCCTTCCCTGTGGTCAAAGCCAAGGGTCTGTGGGGTGGGGAGGGGCAGTAATGGCTAGGGCATTTGCCATATTGTTTTGGCAGCCAGCTGCCTGGGAAGTGGCTTCTGTTCATAAGCCCTTATTAAATGTTTCTTTCTGAGAAAATGGATTTATCAGCCTCTTCTAGCTCTCAACTTCCTCAGATTTTGGGGGTAAGTTTATACAGACCTGCTCACTGTGGAATAATATACACTTCTAAAAGGCAGGGATCCAGCGGGTTCTGTGGCTCACACCTGCAATCCTAGAATTCTGGGAGGCCAAGACTGGTGGATTGCCTGAGCTTGTGAGTTGGAGACCAGCCTGAACAAGAGCCAAATGCTATCTCTGAAAATAGCTGGACATTGTGGCAGGTGCCTACAGTCCTAACTACTTGAGAGGCTGATGCAAGAGAATCGCTTGAGCCCAAGAATTTGAGGTTGCTGTGAGCTATGATGTCATATCACTGTACTGAGGGTGACAAAGTGAGACTCTGTCTCAAAAAAAAAGACAAGGATCCTATTTTTTTCTGCTGCATCTAGGATAAGTGTAAATATGAGCCATTGTATCATTCTTGAATAGTGACATAGATGTTTTTCTTTTACTTTCACAAGTACTCCAAAGTTGTATTTTATATGTATTTTTTATTTACATTTTTTAACCATAAGTTTAATTTGCATTTAGAGGTCCCCATTTTCTTTCTTTGGATATTACCCAATAGATACCATAAGTTAACTGCTGGAGGGTCTAACGGAGCCCTACTCAAAGCCTTTCCCCTCCCCCTTCTTCTCTCTTTCTAAGACAAAGACACAAAGGGTCTAGCTAGCCCCACCCAACAGAAGTTCTTACCAAAGGACCCTAACCTGACAGGCAACCTGTGTAATGTGCCCACCCCCCATATAAAAGGGGTCTCTATCTGCCCCCAGGCGTAGACACCATCTTTGCACTCTCCCCTTTTAATAAACCTGGCCTGAACATCTCTATGGCCTTGTCTTCTGGGCGCCACTGTTCACACCTTTCAGTAACTGCTCCTATTTAGACTGCAGTGGAGAATTCTTGTGGTTGTACAAGAACACTAAACTCCAAGGAACCCAGGATTCTTACTTGCAGAACTAATCCGTAACTAGTACGGATTCAGTTACACACATTCCGTCTTTAATGAAATTCTAGTGGAGAAGGATGATGGATAAGGTTACATGCATTACTTTTATACATTTGAGTCAAGGTTATAATTGTGTCCATCCTCCAGATAGTGTTTTGTACCAGTTAGGTATGAATTTACAGCCCCCCTTTCTACCTGCTTGATTTCCATTGAGTTTTACTTACGTATGTACACATATGTATTAATCATTTAGTTCTAATTTAAAAGTGTACGCATGTGGTGTTTGTTTTTTCATTCTTAGGATACTTCACTTGGGAGAATGGTCTCCATTTCCATCCAGGTTGTTACAAAAGGTATTAGTTCACCATTTTTTTTTTTTTAATGGCTGGGTAGACCTCCTTGGTGTACATCTATCACATATTATTAATCCACTCATGTATTGATGGGCACTTGGGTTGTTTCCATATCTTTGTGATTATGAGTTGTGATGCTTTAAACATTCCAGTGCATGTATCTTTTTTATAGAATGACTTTTTTCCTTTTGGGTAAATTCCCAGTAGTGGGATTGCTGGATCAAATGGTAGATCCACTTTTAGTTCTCTGAGGTAGTGTATAAGTGTTCCTTTCTCTCTGCATACATACCAGCATCTATTGTTTTGGGATTTTTGGATTGAAGCCACTTTATTGAGTTAGGTAGTATCTCATTGTGGTTTTGATTTGCATTTCCCTGATAATTAAACACCTTAAGCATTTTTTCATGTTTATTTGCCACCATTAGTCTGTCTTCTTTTGAAGAGCTTCCATTCATATTTTTTTACCGCCATTTTAATGGAGTTGAGTGTTGCTTATTTGCAGGAATTCTTTGTAGATTCTGGTTATCAGCCCTTTATAGGATGTAATGCAAATGTTTTCTCCCATTCTGTAGGTTGTCTGTTTACTCTATTGTTTTCTTGGTTGTGCAGAAGCTTTTTAATTTAATCAGGTCCCATTTATTTATTTTGTTGCCGTGATTGCCTTTTTCATAATTTTTTTGGCCTAGGTCAATGTCTATAAGAGTTTTTCCAATCTCTTCTAGAATTTTTATAGTTTCATGCCTTAGATATAGGTCTTTTATCCATTGTAAGTTAAGTTTTGTGAATGGTGAGCAGTGTAGATCCTTTTCTAGTCTTCTACATGTGACTATCCAGTTTTCCTTGCACCATTTATTGAATAGGGATTGTTTTCTCTAGTGTATATTTTTGTCTCCTTTGTCAAAGATCAGATGGCAACTTGAGGATGGTTTTGTATCTGGGTTCTCTGTTTTGATCCATTGGTTTGTGTCTGGGTTCTTATGCTGTTTTGGTTACTATAGCTTGAAATTTGGTAAAGTGATGCTTCCCAATTTGTTCTTTTTGCTTCAGGTTGCTTTGGCTATCTATAGAGTCTTTTCTGGTTCCATATGAAGCATAAATTATTTTTTCTAGATCTATGAAAAATGTCATTGGTATTTTTTTTTAATGGGGGAAAGTTTTTTTTTTTTTAGAGACAGAGTCTTACTTTATTGCCCTTGGTAGAGTGCTGCCGTGGTGTCACAGCTCACAGCAACCTCCAACTCCTGGGTTTAGGCGATTCTCTTGCCTCAGCCTCCAGAGTAGCTGGGACTACTGGCGCCTGCCACAACGCCCACCTGTTTTTTTTTTG